TCGAACTCCTGACCTCGTGATCCATCCCCGCCTCAGCCTCCCTAAGTGCTGGGATTACAGGTGTGAGCCACCGTGCCGGCCTAAATTGACGTTTTAATAACTGTGATTGACATCAACAACTTAGAGTAGAAAATCCCAGCCTTCCTTCCCCTCCACAAATACAACGTTTTGCAACTATCTGTGAATAAAAATAAAAATTTGTTCTTATCAATTTTCACTCTGAGTTAAATCTTCATTCCTTAGTATTTTAATGAAAATCATCTTTTTAAATATGCACAACAACGATTCTAAAAGATCTGGAACTACGTATTTTTAACAGAGTGCCCTTATATTAAGACAGTTTTCATCTTTATATTTTCAATTACGAATCTCCACAATGGAACCAACTAACAAGATTCTGTACTAACCTTGAAAAGTCAGTATACGCTCTGAACACAAGTCCTTTAGTATAATTCTATTATTCATTATTATTGATAATATACCTACTGCATAATTTAGATTGTGACCAAATTCCACTTAATATTAAATTAAGCTAAATACGGAAGTTAATTACAGAAATATTATAGTACTTTGAGATTTGTTTTGTAGTCAGTTACACAGTTAAAACAGAGCTCTAAAAGTAATTAACTCTACCTTCTGTACAAAGTGCTTGAAATCTTAGAGATTACAGGTTCCCTTGGAACATCATGGAAAACTTTCCTCTCTGAGCCAGAAACTGAGTAACTCACTTTCAACTTCTATTTACAATTATACTCATGGTCAGGCCCAGTGGCTCACACCTGTAATCCCAGCACTTTGGGAGGCCAAGGAATGTGGATCACTTGAGGTCAGGAGTTCAAGGCCAGCCTGGCCAACATAGTGAAACCCCATCTCTACTAAAAATACAAAAATCAGTGGGGCATGGTGGCACACGCCTGTAGTCCCAGCTACTCGGGAGGCTGAGGCAAGAGAATCTTGAACCTGGGAGGTGGAAGTTGAAGTTGCAGTGAGCCAAGATCATGCCACTGCACTACCGCCTGGGCAACAGAGCAGGATTCCATCTCAAAAAAATATAAAATTATACTTAGCCCAAGGCCATATAAATTGCATTACTATTACAAAGTTTAATATATATTAATACATCAGTTAAAAAGCACTTTAGGTTGGACATGGTGGCTCATGTCTGTAATCCCAGCTCTTTAAGAGGCCGAGGCAGGCAGATCACCTGAGGTCAGGAGTTCAAGACCAGCCTGACTAACATGGTGAAAACCCGTCTCTACTAAAAATACAAAAATTAGCAGGGCATAGTGGTGGGCACCTGTAAACCCAAGTACTTGGGAGGCTGAGGCAGGAGAATCGCTTGAACCTGAGAGGCAGATTGCAGTAAGCAGAGATCACGCCACTGCACTCCAGCCTAGGTGACAGAGCAAGACTGTGTGTGTGTGTGTCTCTCTCTCTCTCTCTCTCTCTCTCTCACACACACACACACACAGCATTTTAATGATACAAATGGGCAGGAGGTTTCTTTGGGGTAATGGAATGTTCCGAAGGAAGACTGGCAGTGGTTATACAACTCTGTAAATACACTATCATGCAACTGTACACTTAAAACAGGTTAATTTTGTAAGATATACATTCTACCTCAATAAAACTTTTTTTCCAGGGCACCTTAAATGTCCAGTAGTATAAAACCTAAGATGCTACTCTAGGTATGAGAAGTACAAAAGTACAAAGGCTATGTTATTTTATGTAACACCATAGCCCACTATCAAATGCTTAATTAACATCTTCCCATTCTCTCTCATCCCCACAGATTTTCAGGGCTGCAAACATACAAAAGTCAAGTTTTTATCTCTTTAACTATAGATTCACTGTTAAATGCAGAACAATATGCATATCATCATCTGTTTACATACTATTTTTTAAAGACTACCCTAATTTTGGTAAAATACTCAGATCTTCAGCGCTTCTCTGGTTCCAATTAATTTGTGAAATGAAGTTTCAGTTCTACTAGAAAAACTTTAATCAAGGTCTACAGACCACTGCCTCAAGGCCTGATAACTGACTTTGAAATTCATCAATGGCAATTCACTTATAGCCAAATGTGTGTCTTCTGTGTATATAAGGAGTAAGAGGAGGGGAAAAAGGGAAATTCAAATCACCTGTACATTGAAAATCACCACACACACACACAAAAAAACATCCCAACAAATACACTAAAATGTTAACAGCTCTCATCTCAAGGCAACTTCTAGTTTTTGCTGAGTTCCAAAATTCCCTCAGTGACTATGTATTATCTTCTAAATTAGAAAAAATTAAAATTGCTCCTATGCTAAACGGAAGCCAGTCTCAAAACACTACACAATATATTGTATGATTCTATATACATAACATTCTGAATAAGGCAAAACTATATGAAGACAGAAGACACTAGAGGCTGGGGTTGAGGAATGGCTGACTAAAAAAGGGCACGACAGAAATTTGGGGGCTATGAATCTTGATAAATGCTGACAACTGTGTAACCACCACCACAGTTAAGGTGACAGATAATCTTGCTAATTATCAGCAAAAAATGCTTATCTTACTGTATGTAAATTAACTGCAACTTTTAAATTCTAATGATAAAAAGCAATAAATTTCTGTGCAATAAGCCAATGTTTTTCAAGTCAGCAGTTTAAGAGGATACAAAATACTGGATCACTGAACTACTTCAAATCTCAGAGATTTGTTCTGGGGTCCACTGTTAAGGTAACAGTAAGGTGAAGTGCAGACCCAGAATCCCCATTTGCTCACTTCAAATCCAGGACTCTCTTCCACTTCCCCATTCCCATTCTTCCAGAGTTCTGAAGAACAGTGTCCACAAAGTGCATGTGCAAGTGGATTATGGCTGGACATAAAATTCCAAATGTTCAAGTGTACATTCTTTCAGTGCACACACATGTGACTAGTGTCCTTTCCAACCCTGCCAAAGTACCACCTCACTTTGTGAGGCAAATGAGTTATGGAGTCAAAGCTTAAGTAGAACCAAGCAGTAGACTGCAGGGCATGTATAGAGATCAATAATAAATACTTCAGAGTTCCAAAATGGGAACATTTGATTCCTTGTGAATTGACTGGGGAAAATAAAAATACCATGAGAAACCAAAGTAAGAATGCAAACAATCTTTGAAACAAATTGACTACCTTCATCTTATTAAAAAAAGGAAAACGTAGCTTTTATAGCAGGCTAATGACAAATACACTTTGCTAAAAAGAAATGGCTATCACATGCATGATGTAGAATAATGTGTTAAAGCAAAATAATCACTTTATTTTTTCCATCACGCAAGACAAAAATGCCTATCTCCCTTATACAAGAACTATATAGCCAAATCGTGAGAATCTAAAACTTTTCGGGAAAGTGGTGGGAGATGATGCAAAACGACTTATCTACGCTTGATAGGAAAAACGTGGCTAAGACTGCTCTTTGCGCCATCTTACACAGCGAACCATATCTGCAGTAGTCCAGGGAAGGCCAACCACCAGGTTTCAATAACAACAAAAGTCAATTAAACATCCACTCAAATTGCACCTCGGTCATCTGTCTGACATCAAGTCTTAAACCTAGAACGTAAGGTTAATGTAACTACTCACGCATTAACTTAAAGTCTCACTTCCAACAAGCACTGTTCCTACTTTACGTTTACCACCTAAGGAGATTTAAACTTGTGAAAAGCTTAGGGAGATCCTTTATACGCTGTGATTCCCCATTATGCTAGTACCACGTGAGAGTTAAACCAAATCCAGAGCTAATCAGTAAACTAAGAAAGGAGAAACAAAACGCTGAAAATAGAAAATCATGGCCAAATAAAATAAAAACTCGTGGAATAAAAGGTACGCTGAAATGAAAACCTGTGAGAATTCATTTTGTAGGCGCACAATACTCATGCATATTAGAAGAAGGCCCTTCATAAAAATAGCCAAGACTCTCAAACATTTGAGATGCTGGCTTAGCGAGATTGACTGACAGACAACAGCTGGGGAGATTTTGTATTGCTCTTGTAACATCCTGGCATACTTCGGGAGAATGAGTAAAGAACACTATAGTGGCAAAAAAAAAAATAAACTAGTAGGATTTCATTTTTAGATATGTGAACGCTGAAAGCCCCTACCAAATTGCTGTACTCTTATTTCTCCTACGTTTTCCAGCACCGATTTCACAGTAATGCATGTTCTTCCTCCCCAACCAAACAAAAAACCTCGTGGAAAAAAAGACACACACACCTCCCTCCAAAAACAGGGGCAGTGATACAAAGAAATTGGTCACCTCTCCGCCTATCTCCGTGATCCATTTCACATTTTAAATCTTACTTTAAAGCGGAGAACTGTCTGTTTCTTCCGTAATAGAGGGGCTACGGCGCCGCCCAATTTCCCAGGCCGCAAAAATAGTCCAACCCGCCACAATTCAAGCTTTTCTGCTTTTCTGTCTTGGATGCTATAACCCTAAATCCGGCACCCCCATTCTCCTCAGACGCTAAAGATTTGCTGGCCCGAAACTCGAAGACAAGGGGTGAATTCCAAAGATTCCGCGCCGCACGCGCCCCAGGGGGCGGGGAGGGGGCGCGGGCGCTGGCCGAGGCGCTCGGGCGGGCAGGTCCGCGGGCGGGGGAGCGGGCGCGACCGCACAATCCCCCCGCCGCCTCCCCGCGCTCGGGCCTGGCCGAGGAGCTCCCGTCGTCCCGCCGCCGCTCCGCCGCTCCGCCGCTTCCCACCGGCCCGCCAAGAGCCGCAGCGGCGACAAGGAAGGTTCCTAACTAGGAAAACCCACGGTGTCCGACGTGCTGTTTCAAAACATAACGGAGCCCCGGCCCCCGAGACCGTTAAACCGCGGGTGGAGGGGGGAGAAGCAAGGAATCCCGCGGCCTCGGGCGGGGGCCTGGCCGCCCCTCCGACCCCCAGCGTCACTCTCCGGGACCACCAGCCCTCGCTCAAACGCGCCCCAGCCCCCAGAACACTCGACAGAGTGGCAGAGGGGTCAGTACCTTGTAGAAAGCCCCGTTGGAGCCGCGAACCTCCACCGTCAGCTCCGCCATGTTGGAACCGCAAAGGCCGCCGGGAAGAGATTCTAGAAACTTTCCAACCAGAGGGGAGGAGGGGGGAGGGGCGCGGAGGCGGGGAAGGGGAGGGGACAGCAGGGCGGGGATTCGGGTCCCCGCCCCTCACCGCGGGTCTCCGCGTGCCGCCCCGACTCTCCAGGTGGGATCCCGGCGCTCCCTGCGGCGCCCGCCCCGGGCTCCGCCTGCCGCCGGCTACGTCGGCCTCGCCTCCCGGCACAATCGCCGACCTTTGACCCGCCCGCGGGCCCCCGCCCCCTCGTGGCCGCCGTTCGCGCCGCCCCGGAATCCTCGGCCCGGGCTCAGCCCGCCCCGCGCGTGGCGTTCGCTCGCGCCCCGCGTCCAGACCTGGAACTTCTGGGAGGGCTGGATGCCCGGGGGTGGCCTTGTCACCCACCTCGATGGTGCCCCAAGTTTTGTCGCCCCGCTCTGGTTTGTTTTTTAAAAAGTCGGGCCTTCTCCGGACTCCGATTCTCCAGTTCCACGCCCCTCAGACGGGTTCGCCCAGCCCGCCCCCCACCTGCTGCACTTCAGCTAGGCCGGGCGCGGTGGCCCACCCCTGTCCTCCCTGCACCCTGAGAGGCCGAGGCGGCCGGATCACGAGGTCAGGAGTTCTAGACCAGCCTGACCAACTTGGGGAAACCCCCGTCTGCACTAAAACTTAGCCGGGCGTGGGGACGCGCGCCTATAGTCCCGGCTGCTGGGGAGACTGAGGCAGGAGAATCGCTTGAACCGGGGAGGCGGAGGCTGCAGTGAGCCGAAATCGCACCACTGCACTCCAGCCGGGTGACAGAGCGAGACTCCGTCTCAAAAAAAAAAAAAAAAAAGTCAAACTCTTTTCAAAACTGTGTTCACACCCCGGAGCAGAGTTTACATGAATTCGCCTTATTAAAAGCAGAGGGCTGTATGTGGTGGCTCATGCCTGTAATTTCATAACTTTGGGAGGCCGAGGTGGGCAGATCACCTGGGGTTGGGAGTTCGAGACCAGCCTGACCAACGTGGAGAAATCCCGTTTCTACTGAGAATACAAAATTAGCGGGCCTGGTGGTGCATGCGTGTAATCCCAGCTGCTTGGGAGGCTGAGGCAGGAGAATCGCTTGACGCCGGAGGCGGAGGTTGCAGTGAGCAGAGACAGCCCATTGCACTCTAGCTTGGTCAACAAGAGCGAAACTCCATCTCAAATAAATAAATCAGTCAGACAATAGAGCGGGAGACCACGTTTTCCTCTGCTGAGTGAATGTAAAGTTCCACAAATAGGATCAAAGCCTCGCCATCTCCAGTTTTGTAAGCATTGTAACAAATACTTTGAGTGTGGATTTTAACAAGTTGATAACTGAAGCTTTTTTCCTACACAAGGCCTTTGGAAATACTATAAGGGCTCCTTGTTATACTTATTACCATTTTCGCAGAAAAACTTTGAAGAAAGGATACTTTGCTAACATTCTATACTTCCCATGAAATGCCCACTGACCTGGTCTTTCAGATTCTGAAAAAAAAAAAAAAAAAAAAAAAAACAGAAAAAATATGTGCATAACATTTTATGAGCAAGTCTGCATCTCTGAAGGTTCTGGAAGAAAATGAGGGCTGTGAAAGTGTTCATTCTTGTTGTGTACAGGATATTCTCTTTATTGATTTAAGACAGGGTCTCTGTCACACAGGATGGAGTGAACTGGCATGTTTACCGTTGCAGTCTGGACTTCCCAGGCTCAGGTGATTCTCCCACCTCAGTCTTCCGAGTAACTGGGACTACAATATTTATTTATTTATGTTTTCGGCAGAATGTCACCCTGTTGTCCAGGCTGGAGTGCAGTGGTGCAATCTTGGCTCACTGCAACCTCCACCTCCCGGTTTCAAGCGAGTCTCCATCCTCAGCCTCCCGAGTAGCTGGAATTACAGGTGACTCCCACCACACCGGGCTAATTTTTTGTATTTTTAGTAGAGACGTAGTTTCACCATCTTGGCCAGGCTGATCTTGAACTCCTGACTTCGTGATCCACCTGCCTTGGGCCCCCAGAGTGCTGAGATTACAGACGTGAGCCACGCCGCCCAGTCTTTTTTTTTTTTTTTTTTTAAGAGGGATCTCTATCACCAAGGCTGAAATGCAGTGGCACAATTATAGCTCATTGTAATCATGAACTCTTGGCCATCCCACACTGGACTAGGATGTTCTTTTTAAACTGTTGATCATATTGAGAAAAATGTAAACAAACTAATGAGTTTTTTTTTTTTTTTTTTTTTTTTTTTGAGATGGGGTCTCACTCTGTCACCAGGCTAGACGCCATTTATTAAGGGCGTCTTATGCTAACACTTTATATGCTAACACTTTATATGCCATCTCTTTATGATCCTTCAGAATTATAATTTGCTTTTTTAAAAAGTTTTCTTTAGATATAATTCTCCAATTTATAGTGTACAATTCAGTGGTTTTTAGTATATTCACAGATTTGTGCAACCACCACCACCACAGTCAATTTTAGAATATTTTCACCACTGCAAAAATAACACCAAACCTGTTAGCAGTCACTCTAGATCCCACCCCAACTCCCAGGCCCTAGGAAGTCAGTAACCTGTTTTCTACCTGTATATATTTGCCTAGTCTAGATATTTAACATAAATGAAATTGCAGAATATGTGGTGTGTTATGACTGGCTTTCTTTTTTCTTTCTTTCTTTTTTGTTTTTTTAAGACAGAGTCTCGCTCTGTTGCCCAGGCTGGAGGACAGTGGCTCCATCTCCACCCACTGCAACCTCCGCCTCCTGGGCTAAAGCGATTCTCCCGCCTCAGCCCCCTAAATAGCTGGGAGTACAGATGTGAATCACCGTGCCCACTAATCTTTGTATTTTTTTGTAGAGATGGGGTTTCACTATGTTGCCCAGGCTGGTTTCAAACTCCTGACCTCAAGCTATCCACTCTCCTCTGCCTCCCAGAGCGCTAGAATTACAAGCGTGAGCCACTGCACCTGGCCTATGACTGGCTTCTTTCATTTAGTGTAATGTTTCCAAGGTTCATCCATATTATAGAATGTATTAATACTCATTCCTTTTTGTCAAGTATACTGTCATATGTATACACCACATCATTTTATTAATTCATCAGTTGATAGACATTTGGTTGTTTCTACTTTTTGGCTATTAGGAATAATGCTGCTATGAAAATTTCTTTACATGTTTTAGTATAGAAAGATGTATGTTTTCATTTCTCTTGGGTATATAGCTAGAAATGGAACTGCTGACTCGTGATAATTCCATGTTTAAACCTGTTGAGGAATTGCCAGACTTTTCCAAAGTGGCTGCAGTATTTGCAACCCCAGGAGCAGTCCAAGTTTACTTTTGCTTTATGTCTTTCTCTCTCTCTTCCTTTCTTTCCTTTTCTTTTCCTCTTTGTCTATCCCTCTCTCTCTCTCTGTTTGGCTTTCAGTTTAATTTTGTTTGTTCTCAATGTCAGTGATTTTGAGTATGGATGCAGAAGTTCCATTTGGGCAGAGGCCAAGGCATTTCAGACCGCCTGAACTCTAAAGAATAAGGGCTGTCCCTCTTCAGGCCTTGCACACAGAAAACATTTGAATTTGGAACCTAACCAACACTTTACTACTTCTCCTAAGTAGACTTTGTGCTAAGCAACTGAACTTTTTAGCAACCAGTAACACATGTAAGATCAGACAAGCTCCAAGTGGCAGAACTGGGATTTAAGCCCCTCTATTTTCCATTTCCAATGCCATATCAATGACTGTTTGCAGCCCCCATGTAATATTCAAAATGGGACATTACACAAAGTTAAAATTTTGATATAAACCTATTTTCACCATCATAAAAAGATGTTCATTTTAAAAACAGCATGCATAATCATATTAAAATATATATGTAGTGTGTCAATACATACATAAAGTCTGAAAGTTAATATTTTCTTATATTAATGGAGGATATTTCCAGAAGATGGGCTTATGATTTACATAAACTTTATAATGTCTATATTTTTTGCACCATCTGAATTTTTTTGTATATTTTATTTATTAAAATTTTTTTTTAATTTTATTGTACTTTAGGTTCTGGGGTACATGTGCAGATCATGTAAGATTGTTGCATAGGTATGCACATGTCAATGTGAAGTCTCCCGTTATTATTGTGTGGGAGTCTGAGTCTCTTTGTAGGTCGTTAAGAACTTGCTTTATATACCTGGGTGCGCCTGTATTGGGTGTGTATTTATTTAGGATCATTAGCTCTTCTTGTTGCATTGATCCTTTTACCACTATGTAATGCTCTTCTTTGTCTCTTTTGATCTTTGTGGGTTTAAAGTCAATTTTATCAGAGACTAGGATTGCAACTCCTGGTTTTTTTGCTCTCCATTTGCTTAATAAATCTTCCTCCATCCCTTTGTTTTTAGCCTATGTGCGTCCTTGTACATGAGATGGGTCTTGACTTTTTATCCAATTTGCCAGTCTGTGTCTTTTGATTGGGGCATTTAGCCCATTTACATTTAAGGTTAATATTGTTGTGTGTGAATTTGATCCTGCCATTTTGATGCTAGCTGGATGTTTTGCCCTTTAGTTGACGCATTTTCTTCATTATGTCAAACGGTCTTTACTATTTGGTACGTTTTTGGAATGGCTGGAACTGGTTGTTCCTTACGTTGTTTAGTGGTTCTTTCAGGAGCTCTTGTAAGGCAGGTCTGGTGGTGACAAAATCTCTCAGCAATTACTTGTTCATAAAGCATTTTATTTCTCCTTTGCTTATGAAGCTTAGATTGGCTGGATATGAAATTCTAGGTTGAAAGTTCTTTTCTTTAAGGATGTTGAATATTGGCCCCCACTCTCTTCTGGCTTGTAGGGTTTCTGCTGAGAGATCTGCTGTGAGTCTGATGGGCTTCCCTTAGTGGGTAACCCGATCTTTCTCTCTGGCTGCCCTTAGCATTTTTTCCTTCATTTCAACTCTGGTGAATCTGACGATTATGTGCCTTGGTGTTGCTCTTCTTGAGGAATGTCTTGAGGAAATACAGGTGTTCTCTGTTATTTCCTGGACTTGTATGGTGGCCTGCCTTGCTAGGTTGGGGAAGTTTTCCTGGATAATATCCTGAAGAGTATTTTCCAGCTTGGATTCATTGTCTCCATCACATTCAGGTACACCTATCAAACGTAGATTAGGTCTTTTCACATAATCTCATAGTTCTTGGAGGCTTTGTTCATTTCTTTTCACCCTTTTTTCTCTAATCGTGCCTTCTTGTTTTATTTCATTGAGGTGATCTTCAATCTCTGATATCCTTTCTTCTGCTTGGTCGATTCGGCTTTTGAAA